GAATATTGACCATTTCCTTTTGGTACAGTGACTCTATGTATTCCTTCCATTTTCTTTTGATGCTTTCTGAATCATTCAATAATTTGTCCAGAGAATCCTTCAATAATTAAAATCAAGGCTTGAATTTTTATTGACTTCCCTCAGCTTGAGAAATGCTGAGCATGTTCTTCCCTTTTGGTTTTCTAACTCCAGATCTTTGCACATTTTGACTTTGTCTTCAAGAGCTGACCTTTGAAATTTTCTGTTCAACTCTTGTACCTCCTCTTTTCTTCCATTTGTTTTAGCATCTCTATGCTGGAGAGCAAGTTTCAGAGTCTCTTCTGATAACCATTTTGAACTTATCCTTCTTTCTTGTCATCTTAATGACTTTTTGTTTTCTTCCTGTATGATGCTCTTGATGTCATCCCACAACTCTTCTGGTCTTTGGTCTTTAGTGTCTAATGTATCAAATCTGTTCTTCAGATGATCTCTAAATTCAGATGGGATATATTCAAGGTCATATTTTGATGCTTGTGGACTTGTTTTCATTGTCTTTAGCTTTGGTCTGAATTTGCATAGGAGCATTTGATGGTCTGTTCCACAATCTGCCCCAGGTCTTGTTTCAGCTGATGATATGGAGCTTTTATACCTTCTCTTTCCACATATATAGTCAATTTTATTTCTGTGTGTTCCGCCTGGCGAGTTCCATGTGGATATTGCCTCTTACGCTGTTTAAAAAAGGTATTTAAAATGAAAAAAATCATTGATTTTGAAGAATCCTATCATGTGGTCTCCAGCATCATTTCTATCACCAAGGCCATATCTTTTATCCTTCCTCTTTGTTTCCAACCTTTGCATTCCAATCATCAGTGACTATCAATATATCTTGATTGCATATTTGATCAATTTCAGATCAAATTTTATTGACTTTATTGGCTTTATTAATTTCACTGACTATGCAAAAGCCTTCAGTTGTGTGGACCATGACAAGCTATGAACAACATTGCAAAGTATAAGTATTCCAGAACACTTAATTGTGCTCATGAGGAATCTGTACCTGGACCAAAAGGCAGTTATTTGAACAGAACATGGGAACATTGAATGGTTTAAATTTAGGAAAGGTGTGCGCCAAGGTTGTATTCTTTCACCATACTTAGTCAACCTATATGCTAAACAAATAATCCAACAAGCTGAATTATATGATGACTGGTGAAAAACGTGGCAACAGGATCAGAGGAAGACTCATTAGCAACCTGCGATATGCAGATGATACAACTTTGCTTGCTGAAAGTGAAGAGGACTTAAAATGCTGATGAAGTTCAAAGACCAGAGCCTTTGGAATGGATTGCCTCTCAATGTAAAGAAAACAAAAAACTTCACCACTGGATCAATAATGGAGAAAATATTGAAGTTGTCAAAGATTTCATTTTTCTTGGATCACCCATCAACACTCATGGAAGCAACAGTCAAGAAATCAAATGATGTATTATATTAGGCAAATCTGCTGCACAAGACCTTTTTAAAGTGTTGAAGAGCAAAGATGTCAGCTTGAAGACTAAGGTACATCTGACCCAAGCCATGGTATTTTTAATAACCTAACATGCATAAGAAAGTTGGACAGTGAATAAGGAAAATCATAGAAGAATTGATGCATTTGAGTTATGGTGTTGGAGGAGAATATTGAAAGTACCATGGGCTGCCAAAAGAACAAACAAATTTGTGTTGGAAGAAGTGAAGACAAAGTGTTCCTTGGAGACTGGGAAAGCCAGACTTCATCTCTCATACTTCAGACATATTGTCAGAAGGGACCAGTCACTGGAGAGAGATATCATGTTTTGTAAGATGGAAGATGAAGGGTCTGAGAAAAAGAGGAAGACC